TGACCAGCTATCAGAATTATGAAAAAGATGCAATACTGAATTAAAAAAAAGAAACTGGGCGATGCCTTAATAATTAAAAGGGATATACAAAAAATAAACCAAGAGACTCACCTGAATAATTTTCCTACATTGAATTTACAAAATAGATTTGTTAAAATTATGAAGAATTTTGTGAGAAGGGACAAAGAAAAAATGAAAAGAAATGAAGTTCTAGGTCACAATTTGAAGGGACTAAAGATCCAGACTATTAAAAGTAAAAGGAAGTAATATATTATTTGTAAAACATAATGCAGCTGTTAGCTTTGATTTTTAACATATAACTACTTTCCTAGTAATAGAAATGTCAGGTTCTGTGCAGGATTAACAATGTCACAAATCATGGTATTGATAAAAATTAAAATAAAATTATAAAAAGTCAGTTTAGACGATGGTAATTTACTATAGTTTCCCCCCCTATTCTAACAGTACAGTATTTAGCATAAATCTTTAAACCATTATAGAAACTGTAGAAAATCTATGTTTACTGTTTTTAACTACTATGTTCCAGGTCCCAGCTATAATATCTGTTTTATATTAATGGATAATGACTCTTAGCAAACATTCAAAGTGAGTACAGAATATGGTAATTCCAAAAAGAAATAGGTCCGTGTACATTCTATATTATCCACTCTAATGAATCCGTATTTCAGAAATAATTACTTTACAGTATAAGCTTTGTTTCTCTTATACATTATTTTGAGATTTAAAACTTTATAGATAAAAAAAATAAGTTAAATGTATTGCAACTTGTTTTAGAGATTTCTGATCTCAAGCTTTCATCTCAGTAGTGGGAGATACATGCCAATTTCATCTCAGTAGTGGGAGATCCATGTTAAGGTACACAGTCTTGACTGAATTGTTACTGAAGTGGCCCACTACGTAAGTAGTAAACGTTCTGTGGCTGTTACATCCAGATAGGTAGTTATTGGTATACATAGAATACCTTTGTACCTATCCTTGCCAATTCTAGCTTCAGCATCTTAAATATGAGCCAGCAGCATGTAGCAGTGCAATCAATCCTAGGTTGTGTAAGCAGAGGGATAGAATCAAGATCATGTGAAATATTAGTACTTAGTAAGACCACACCTGGAATACTGAATCCAGTTTTGGTTACGATATTATAAAAAGATGTTGAGATTCTGGAAAGAGTCCAGAGAAGAGCAATAAAGATGATTAAGAGCCTGGAGACTAAAACATATTAAGAAGGGTTGTAGGAATTGGATATAGCTAGTCTAGTGAAAAGAAGGACTAGGTGTGACATGATAACACCTTTCAATATTTGAGGGGCTGCTACAAAGAAGAGAGGATCAACCTATTTTCCAAAGCACCAGAATGCACGACATGAAACAACGGGTGGAAACTAATCAAGGATAGAAGCAACTGAGAACCAAGGAGAAATTTCCCAATAGTGAGAACGGCTTGCCTTCAGAAGTTGTGGGTGCTCCATCACTGGAGGCTTTGAAGAAAAGACAGCCACTTATCTGAAATGGGATAGATCTCTTGCTTGAGCAGGAGGTTGGAAGGTCCCTTCCAACTCTGTTATTTTGTTACTGTTAAGTGGTTGAGAGCCAGAGTAGTTAGGAATCAAGTTTATTTTTTAAAAAACATTTTATTAGATTTTATACAGGTAAGCGAAGGATAGGGTCGGAATGAGTGTGGAAAGGGGTAAAGGTAAGGGATTAGGAATGGGGTACGGGTAAGTACGATGATGGGGTTACCCCCAACAATCCCATGTTTTTGCAAGCAAACTACCGTCCGGGTATACACATTGAATAAACATATATAAAACAAATAATAAATGAAGTTAAAAATAATCATCAGCCTAAAGATTAATAACTGAATATGATTCCTCTAACTACATAACCATAATTAATAAAGTGCAAACTAATACTAATTATAATACTTAATACTTCAAATCACTAACTGTATTTATAACATAAAAATAATGCTTAATTAAAACATATCATTCATTCTATTTAATTTCACAATCCTTTCTCTCTCTATCGTATTACTAATCATTGATAAAAAAATTCCCAAATTTTAAAATGAATTGAATCTTCTTTCTCTCTGATCTCGAAAGTTAATCTATCCATTTCTGCGCAATCTAAAATTTTAATGATTATAGTCTGGTCAGATGGTAAATTTTCATTCAATTGGGCAAATACTATTCTCGCAGCTGTTAAAACGTGTAATATTAAGTATTAATTCTCTTTACCATAATTAGTTTCTTGTACCAGTATATACCAAGCTTGCACAAAACATTTATGAAATTGTTATCTTTGTAGCATGAAGATCACCCAACCAGATTCCAGCTACTTAAGATTACTTTGTCCTGGGATTTCCCATATAGCATGTCTTTGAGGATCCTATATATATACACAGACATAAATTTGAAGGAAGGACTATGACTCTCTTGGGAATCTCTCTGGTAGAGTATAATCCTCTTGTGATATACTGGGATCCTTCTGACCTTGTGATGTGGAACTTGTGTTTTTAGTGAAGATTTAAAATGTGAAGGCTTTCTCTCCTGTTTCACAGTTGACAGTTCCTTCGGATTTGTGGATGATAATTGTGTAATTATCATTGTGGATTGTTTTAAGAAGAATCAAAGCATCTTTTTTTGTTGGAAACAGAATCTGAGACACAAGTCTGAAAGGTGGACTGACAATTTTCTTCAAGTGTTATTATCAAACTGAATTTTTCAGTTTTACTTTCTTCAAGTGTATTTCCAACTGAATGATTCAGTTATTCTTAAGTTTAGGTCCTCAATATAAAATAAGCCTTCAAATTTTGAAGAATTTAACAAAAGTATCAAACAGCTGAGTTTATCGGTCAGCAAATCAATCTATTTCATTAAAAATCCTTAATAGTACATGGCTTTTAGTATGTAAATTATTATCCATTAGTAATATCTAGACTGTATTCAGCAATTCTATTTCACTATATTTTTATGAAAACTGATTTTTTAAAATCACGATTCTCCGACTTATTGGATACAAAAGATACCATTTTCCTGTACAAACTGCTGCTGTGTATTATTAATTCACATTTTTGTTATGACATTGACTTAATTATTCCACTACTACATTTTTAATCAGAGCTAAGTCACAGTATTTCAGATATACTATTGTGACCATAAATAATCATAAAATGTTACCATAGCTTTGTTAGCTCATGGACAAAAAAAATCTAAATTACATAATTGGGAAGTAGCTTTATTAAAACTACCCAAAGGGACAAATTTATCCCTCTACATTACTCAGATTCTTCTGCAAACAATAATGTTCATATATATTACAATAGCCAATAAAGCAGAAGATATGGCAATCTAGTTTAAACATATGCACTTCCAATCTTAGTGATTTTTTCTAGTATTTTGTCCTTAGAACCACTGAATTACTGAGACAAGCTAAGTGCCCAAGATGCCACTTGCAAAAGTTACTGTGAACTTGATTCCTAGTCAATCTCATTCCAATGTTTTGCTTTCCAATATCCAAAGGTTTTATATTATATACACAATTTAATTATATCCCCTTTAAAGTAGTATAAGATTACAATTCTTACATGGAATGCCTTGGGGACAGAGCGATTTTGAAGTCCCTATTTTGTTTTGTTTGATTTATTCTGGTTTTGTTTTGGTATTTTGCTCTTCCTGTTAGCTGTATTTTTCAAATGTTGTTTTTTCAGTTATATGAGCTAGCCACAGTCACTTGGGAGTCTGCCAATTAATTAATGTTTTGTTTTAAAGATTAACAAAAACAATTAGACAATTATTCAGATGTGCTCAGACATTTTAGGGTTATCTTTGGATCAATTTTAACCAAAAGTTGATAAAATTGCAAATAAATATGTGAAAATGATATAGCAAACAGATTTGCTAAAAACAAAATAGAAAACAAACACATAACAACTTGGGTTTAGAAAGCCACTACAATAGCAATTGATAGCCACAGAAAACAGAAGCCAGAAGATTCCTGTTCAGTTTTCACATGCAGAACCTAATACCATGCCTTCATCCTATTTTTAATTATAAAGTACAGCAGTAAACTAGTAATTAAGCACTCAAAAGAAGGACGCCCGGGCTGAAATTTAGTAGGAAAGTCCCCTTCAATGCATTAGAAGCATTATTTTCTCTCTCAGCCCCCCAAATATCAGAAAAGTCGAAAAGACACAGCGCACATGCTCAGGAACAGTTCCTTCCCACGGGGTTTGCAACTTTTCGGCGTGCTGAGCTGCCCTTCCCGAAGCCAAGTTTGCCTCACATGAACTCCGAGGCTGCCTTTCGGCTCCGCTCGGCCCAGCGGAGTCCCGACTTACCAGGCCAAACTCGCTATTCGCTTGGCCCGGCGGTCAGTTCTGTTCTGCTGGGGTAGGCCTGCTTCTTCTACCCTCCCCCTTCCCTTCCAACCCGTTCCGCAAGGAGCCGCGAGTTGCCGCCGTCTCCTTCCTGGTCGTCCCCGACCCAGAACTATTCTCAGCAATGTGCCATCTCTCTTTCTCGCGTGTTTTTTTGGACTCGGCCGAGTTCCCTTCTGCTTGTCCGCGTCGTAGCGGGGTAGCTCAGGCCGCTCCCCGCTGCCTTGACCTGCCTTGCAGTTTTCCCACGTTTTCGTGCCCCCCGGCCCGCTCTCACCGAAAATGCCCTGCACGATACTGAGCGGGCAGTTCAGCCAGTCCGCCACACACGGCATCTTTTCGGTTCTTCAACGCGTTAAAGGCCACGAGTCACGCCAAAGTCTTTAGAGACCTGCTTCCTGGAGGCTCCGCGCCGGGCGAGAGCGCTTTTAAGATAGCTGGCGAGCCTTCCAGGCTGGGCTTGAAAGCAGCACAGCCAGGCCGTGCAGATCTCAAGCCTCACTTCGCTTTGCCTCTCAGCGCGGGCTCGGGTTGGCGGGAGAAGAGGAAGGAGAGCGGCGACGCCATTTTAGAGCCGGGCGGAAGGGGCAGGGCAGAGGCGGGGAGAGCTCCAGAGAATCGGAGACGTGGAAGTCCCTCAGTCATGGCTGCCCCCAAAACCTCCGCGACGGGTGGCACGTCTTCGACGGGCGGCGGCGGCGGCGGCACCAATTTGCTTTTCTCCTCCTCAGCCACCGAATTCAATTTCACCGTCCCCTTCATCCCCGTCAGCCAAACCCCGCCTGTGGCCGGTTCGGGACCTGGTCTCCTTCCCTCAGGTAATGGTCGAGGGCCGGGGAGCTGAGGTGGGGGGACACGGGAGTTGGGAATCCCCTGTTGGAATCCATTGGCCGCACCCCCCCCCCCGCCGCGCGCGCTTCATTTTGATGGATGAATTTCGCATTTAGGTGGATCGGGGGAATCCATGCCGTAGGTCTGCGATAACGATGCCTGCAAGCTCTTCCATCTTGTAGATCGGAGGTCTCGTAACCTCCAGGACCTACAATGGACGGAAGGATGAATGAGGGGTTTGTTTGAGAAAGTGGAATCTTCGATGGATGTGCCATTCATTTAGATAACGGGAAACGGATGTATTGTTGATATCGGCCTGTATTTCTTTATAGCAGGTTGATTTCAAATCGAGTTATTTTACTGGTCAGACTCCCCAATTTCCTGGCTTGCTGGCCCCCTTCAATCTTCTTTACGGTCCTTTTGACAATTCAGGACAGCACTCCATGCCCTTGAAGGCTTTAGTGCACAAAAGTGTGTGGTTTCACAGCCTTGGTGCTGCAATCTTATTACTGAAGACGCAGAGAAAGTTCCTAAGACTTGTCCAATGAGTGGGTATGATTTCCTTCCTGGCTCATGTGACTTGTTGCATTTCTTTTTCTTGAAATTAAGCTTCCCGGAAGTTTAGTTGTTTGGAGATAAGTAGTTATATGGAAGAACATAATGTTGGTGTGTTTCTTGGAAAGTAGCATAGCAGGCAGGATTTGGAGGAATCAATTTATTAGGGTGGTGATTGGAGACAGGGGTAAAGCACCAGCTGATGGTAGTGAAAATCAGTGACATCAGATGGGAGAGAAGAAAATGTGTCGTTAAAGAGAGGTTTTGTAGCATTAACATAATTCACACATTCATATTTCTCCTACAATTCCCAGATTTATTTATTCATTTGGTAAATTTATAAACCTGCCCATCTCTAAACCCTGACTCTAAACAGTATACAAAGTTAAAAACACAAAATGATGCAACAAAGTAACAAAAAGAATCTTAGAAAAAATCGTAAAAAGTTAAAAACATTAAGCATAACTTGCAGGAGGGCCCACTCAATGTCCCTAGCAATAAAACCCTTTGAAAACTCCATACCCATGCTGTTGAATCCCAGGCCAGACGGCCAAGACATATTTTCAGATCTTTTTGGAAGGTCAGCAAAGTCAATTTGGCATTTGCTGCCTCTTTATATGCAATAGCTTAGTTCTTATTATGATATTGACAAACATCCTCAAAAATTAGGCAGAGTTAAGGGAACAAAATGATCCTACCACTAGGAGAAAATGAGCAGAGCCACAATAAAAATGATGTTAATTTTAGCAAATAATCTGTGATTAATCAATAAACTGATGAGGTAACATTCTTATCTGAAATAAGCCCTAAAATAGGATTCATACTATCAAAAACTTTCTCAATCATTCCCAAATCTGAAAGTTTCTGCCTCCATCCACATATATATTGTACAGAGTTTTCCTTGCATTTTGTCCAATTTTTGATAAATAATGCTCCCTCCCAGTTCCCATGTTAAATGTGGCCTGTAGCCATCAAAGGAAAGTTCACCTTCTAGATTAATTAATGGCTCCTTAATAGTTTAAATATATAAATAATATACAGTTAAAAACTATATATTAATGTTACTATTCCAAGTTGGATACTGCAGGGGTGCCCAACTCCTGGTCCATGGACTGGCACTGATCCATGGCATGCCAGAAACCAGGCCGTGAAAATAAGCAAAGCCTGATCATTGGATGCAGTCACCTTATGAAACCAATTCCTCTCTGGTTCACAGAAAACGGTGCCCAAAAAGATTGGGGATGATGAAAAAAAAAACCTTACTGAAATAATACAAAAACTGTAGCTGAACAGAAAGGCTTGAAAGTGGTAGAGATGTTTGTTACTGAAATGTAATGGTGAACTATAGCATGGTTGATGTTATGAAGGAGATGCCATTCTTTCATATAACCTATCATATTTTTTTTATTGATCCTTACTATATATTCTTTAATGCAGATGATAACACAGATGTTGGTGAAGAAGACAGCTTCCTAGGCCAGACATCCACAAATATAAACCCTCCATCTACATTCAATTATTTCTCCCAAATTCCTAGCAGCAGTGATCCCTTTGGAAGCATTGAACAACCACCCTTAGGCGTGGCAATCTCAACCCAAGCTGGAACATCTGTTTTCTCTAAACCTCCAGTTTCTTTTCCTCTTCTGCCTTCATCACAAGATGGGCCAAATATATTTTCAGCTTCTGTTTCCAAATCACAGTGTTTTAATACTCCCTCTACTTCAGGACAAGGAATTGGAACTTATCAAACATCTCAGCAAAGTGGTCCTCCACCATCAGTCTTTTCAACACCACCACAGGGAGCATCACAACAAGGTTATAACCCTTATCGTCACACTACCTTAAGTAGTAGAGCCAATCCTTACATCACTCCACCACAGCTGCAACAGACACAAGCACCTGTCGAGGGTCTGCAGCCTTCACCTTCTGTACCACCTATGCAGAAGTATCCAACTCCTGCAGGACCAATGCCGCTGGTAGGAAGATTATCTTTCAATATATTGCAATTACTGTAAAAAAGTTTGTTGCTCTTCTAACAATTATCGTTTTACTCTCTCACGTCTTCAAGCAGCTCAATAATAATGAATAATGATTTGCTGGATATGTTTTGTAACTTGATTTAACCGAGAAGTGAAAGTCTATATATACATAAACAAAGCATTTGAGACAAATGTTGTCCTTAAAATAAAGCTATATGCATTTCCTATCTTGGCACTTGATTATTATTTTGCATGAAAACAAAGATGAAATGTTTTTGAGTTTAGGAATTTTTGACACTGTTTAATTATAATGTGAAGAGTTAATATTAGTTTATTGGTCATATCTGAATGTAAAATATTTGCACTTATGAAACTGATTAGTTTTTGTATTTAATTTGATAATTTTTGAAAGTTACATTGACTAGAGCAGTGTTTCCCAAACTTGACAATTTTAAGGCATGAGGACTTCAACTCCCAGAATTCTGGGAGTTGAAGTCCACATGCCTTAAAATTGTCAAGTTTGGGAAACACTGGACTAGAGTTTTGATTAGGATTCAGTTGTGAAACCTAATGTCTTACACCTAGATCAAGTTTGAAAATAATTGGCCATCAGATATACAAAATTAAGACACAACTCCCATATTGCCTTTTCTTGCTATGCCAACGTAGCATGGGGATGTTAATTTAAAATCTATAAGAATAATGTATTTTTATAATTCAGAATGGAATTGTATATAATAAAGTCCTGTATCTAAACATCAAGTAAAACTTTGAGAACATTAAGGAAACTTCTCCCCCTTCTCTTTTTTTCACTTCAGTCAGCCCTATCACCTCAGACATCAATGTCAGCAGGTCCACTTGTGAAGGCACCACCTGTCTTATTACAAAACCAGTATGAACCAGTTCAGCCACATTGGTTTTACTGTAAGGAAGTGGAAAACAAGGAGCTATGGATGCCATTCAGTGATCTAGATTCTACAGCTCTGGAGAAGGTTTATAATTCTGGTAAGACTTAAGTTTGCCTTTGTGTAATAATTTGTGTTTTAGACATGATGAGAATGGACAAGCATATTATATAACATGCAGATCATTTTAAAGTGAGATATTATTTGCATATATTTAAAGACTTTTTTTCATTGAAAATATGAGACCTGGTAGATCCTTGTTTGGAGACAAACAGTGTTTCTTCAGAAACTCTATGTGCTGTTTTGCTTTTCCTGATATTTTCTGAGAGCTGTCCTGGAAATGATCAAACTGAGCATTCCTCACAGATGCTATAGCTCAAAGAGTAATTAGAAAATACCAACTTGTTAAATATAGATATATTATATACGTTTTTAGCTGTCATGGTACAGTATTGGATTTATATAAATCATTTGAATATTTTGATGACAGTTATTAATAAAGTAATCAACATTAAGTGTCCAATTCTGTAAGAGAGATTGTTCACTTTTTTTGCTCTTTCAGCAAGTTTATTATGGAAGTTTCCATAAAGTTATGAGTAATGAGGAAAATTCTGTCAAGATTCTTGGGAGAAAACTCTAATCATTTCAAAATAACAAGATTGGATACTGAATACTTCATTACTCAAAGAGGGTTTCCCCCTAGTTTTCAGATTATTTCTCCTATTTCTTGTTCTTTTTCTATGATATCTACTGAACTTTTCTGTTCTGTCCATGCTGGTGGATTTCGCATATTGTCTGATTTTGACATCACCAATAAACAAAGTGGAACAACTGTTGAAAGAAATGCAACAGTAAATCTAGAAAACTTTCCTACTTGCCCTCATTTTCCAATAGAAACTTTAGTTCAGAAACAAAATATCACTGTTCAGTGTAAAATGTAAAGATTTCTCATTTCCAATATTCACAGGTTAGATGAGAAAAGGAGAAAGAATAACTTTCTTCTTACTCTTTAGTGCAACCTGATCCAGAGAGTGTAATTTTGAGTACTGATGGAGGACGTTATGATGTTTATTTATATGACCGTGTGAGGAAAGCTGTATATTGGGAAGAACAACAATCTGATGTAAGACGATGTACTTGGTTTTATAAGGGAGATAAGGACAGCAGATTTATTCCTTATACTGAGGATTTCAGTGAAAAACTAGAGGTGAGTATTTTTAAAATGAAGGCAACAATGTTAGCTGTAGATTTTTTTTTAATCCCAAATTCAAAAGTAATTTTTTTTGAATAATAAAATAATAAAGTGTTACCACAGCCATATCATTATCATCAGTTCTTTTTGCGTGAAGTGCATAGCGCAGCAAGCTTTCCCCAATGAATCTATTTTAAAAATCATTATTTTGTGGCCTTTAAGTTAGCTTTATAAAATGTTGCTGTGATATTAATTTTAAACCACAATTTTAGTATAAATTAAAAAATTGTTGAAAATTGGGTTATTATTCTTTTAAAAATGCAAAATTACTTTATACTGAATAGATTGTATGTGGCAAAACCTGGTATTAAACTGCCACATGAATGGTGGAGTAAATTAACTGTAATCATTTTTATTCAGTTGCCAAAATAAATTATTTTGGAGATTAGTATATTAGGTTAAGTTCAGTTATGTATTCTTAATATATAATCTAGATTATTTCATGATACAGCCAATATGTTTTGAAACTAGAGCACTGTATGCTGCATTAGCTGAAAATAGAATTTCATGTTGTTGGTATCTGACTTTCATTGTGGCTTCAAATCTGGAGGACAAGTGCCATTTAGAGCATCAGACCTGAAACACCATGGCAAAAGCATCTTTGTCTTCAAAGTTTTAATCATATTTAAATAGTAACTACCTTTCAAAAATTGAGTGATTGGTAGGAAATGCATAATCTTTATCCACAAGTTGTAGGAACAATTTGTGGTTTAATATAATATTACAAATGAATTTAAATTGCCTTCTTATCACCTTGTCCTTTGATGTGCTTTCTTGATATTCAAGATATATAATTGATATTTGTTGTAGGCTGAATATAAGAAAGCTGTTACCACAAATCAGTGGCATCGGCGATTAGAATTTCCAGGTGGAGAAACTTTCGTTATGCATAATCCTAAGGTAATGAGAATGTTGCTTAATTAGATACGCTGGAGGCTGTCAGTAATGTATTGGTATTATCACTTTGGAGGATGATCATAACTGAATATAGAAGCAGGAGCCTGTTTTGGGCAAAAGGGGAAGGTTGAAATGTCTTGAGATGTTTTGGGGTAATTCTAAGGGTAAATTATGGAGGTTTAAGGAAGAGAATCTGAAGGTTTTGACTGTCAGAGGCTTCCTATTACAATTCCCATTCTTAAAACCCTGAAAAGTACCAAAAATTGGGAAAATTTAGAAGGATGCTGAATTTTTGGGTAGGCCTTATTCCCAATAGGGAGCAAATTTACTGAGGGTTATGGTTAGGTCTCCATGAATTGAGACAGCAAGATGATATTGCTAACATTTATAGTGCTTCGATATGCTTAGGAAGGCCCTGACTTTTCCAGCCTGCCTTATCTATGTTTCCTGATAAAATAAATGGAGAAACCCCCTTGGTGGGCAAATACACTTACGGTTAGAGTTAGGTCTCCACAAATTTGGACAGCACAATGGACATCTCCAATGGATTTGTAGTTCGTTGGTATGCTTAGGATCATGCTGACTTTTTGAGCTGGCATTATCTACGGTAAAATACATGGGAAAATCCCATTGGGAGGAAAATCCACTTAAGGTTAGATCTCCATGAATTTGGGCAGCAAAATGGACATCGCCAATGGATTTGTGACAGTGTGGTTAGTATAGCTCCTTTGAGCCAGCATTATTTACTTTGTAAAATATATGGAAAAATCCTACTGAGGAACCAAGCCACTTAGGATTAGATCTACATCAATTTGGGCAGCGAAATGGATATCGCCAATGGATTTACATCATATCCAACATAATCTGATATTAGGAGGCATATTGGATATTTCTCTCCAACAGTGCAGTTTAACATTTTGAATAATGTGCTGTCACAAATCATTATTTCAGGTGTTGAGAATCTTTTAAATGGAAATTGAAATAAATATAAACTTAATTTTTGTCTACTATATGCTGAACAATCTTATGCCATTTTCTCTTGGTGAAAAAATGGTTGTATCCATGAATTTAATACACCTAAGCTATAGTATATATATTATTGCATAAAATCGCAATATGTTAAATTATGTATAAATGTGATACATTGATTTTATCTCAGGTTATAGTTCAGTTTCAGCCTTCTTCAATACCAGATGAATGGGGCACCACGCAAGACGATCAGACGAGACCAAGAGTAGTTAAACGTGGAATTGATGATGATCATGAGGATATTCCAGATGGTAAGTTATGTAGGATTTCATATAAAATGTTTCCCTACAGTCTCTTGTTTTTTCCTCACATGCCAGGATAATAAATATGTTTTGGCTAAAGAATATATTGGCTCCCAGCAAGCTTCTGAATATTGACTGTACAGATGCTGGGAATGAGTAAGGCTGCTTTCCAGAATAGATAGAAACACTTTCCCTCTGGATATGTGGTATTTATCCAGAGATGCCTGAGAGGCTATTGCCTCATGTTGAGACCACAAGTTAAGGAATGCCTTCAAAGTTGAGTAGAAAAACATTGCAAATATATATATTTAAATTGGAAAGTATGCTTTGTAGTATTTATGAATGTAACTGATTGTATTTATTGTTATTTTTATAGGTGAAGTGTCTCAAATTGATCATTTGGTATTTATGGTCCATGGAATTGGCCCAGTCTGTGATCTGCGCTTCAGAAGCATTGTTGAATGTGGTAGGATTATTTGAGTATGGATAGAGAAATGCATATGAAGAATACTTGCTTGTTCCTTTTTTCAGCTACTACCTTAGTATGTAGTTGTTCTTAAACTTTTATTTAGAGTTGTTTGTAAAAGCACTTAGTCACGTACACTAAAGCATTTAGGCCGGTCTTTAAATTGGATTTCAAATCACAACAGTTAACTGCATCAGAAATCTAAACATACAAACTAATTTCAATGTGGTTAAGAAGATAATGGAAAGAACAAACTGCTCCAAAGGGATAATCCTCTTAAAAGGTGTTCAAATAAATGATATATTAGTTTTAAAAGCTATTAGTGAAAGAAAACACAATTATGAACTATTATTATTGATAATATTTAGAAGTCAAGCTTTTTCATTGGGAGAGGTGAAAGATGGTAAACTGCTTCTGATGCTTTATCCAAATCAACTACATACATATTTTTAATGGCTTGGAAGATGAACACTCTAGAACTTCCTGGGGTTTTAAAATCAAAATATGTGGAATATATTTAAAATTTTAGTTATGCTTTTATAATCCACCTGCAGAGTTTGGACTAGAAAACATTTATTTTCAGAAATTAGAAATTCTGTTAACAGTCAGTATGCGCATAATTACTATAAACTTTTTCATTTAAAATTAATTGTATGACACCATTATTCCTTTTCTCCCTTTTTAAAAAGTTGATGACTTTCGGACAGTATCCCTGAAATTGCTGCAAACACATTTTAGGAAATCGATAGAAGAACATAAAGTGAGTAGAGTCGAATTCCTGCCAGTTCATTGGCACAGTGCTTTGCATGGAGATGCAACAGGGGTGGATAGGTAGGTCTACAGTACTCACTATCACTCTCATCCAATCAGTTTGTAATATGTTTTAACAAAGTAGAGTTGTTCTTTGATCATTGATCAGTATCTCAAAGTTGATCAGTTGTGACTTTAAGTGTATAATTTTTGTGATTTTTTTAGTTTAGAATTGCTAAATGTTGTTACCTATGAATGTTATCATATTCTGAGAACTTATACTTAATTTTTCATTAGAACAAAAAAATAGTGATTTTTCCCTAGCATTTAATTCCATTTTTCATAATTGCATTTTATTGTACTATAACTGATTTGTCTGAAATAGCTTAAATTAATACCATAGTTTTGAAATTAACTTGATCCAACCAACTGTTTAAGGCTGATCACAGTTTAGAGTTTGCACAAAGATGGGGAAAATAGAAAACAGATTTAATAATTCTTGTTCTTCACATATTAAATAATTGCTAACTGTAATATTTGAATGCAACCAGTATGATTCCTTGAATATTTGAACTAATTATTCTAGGATAATAGAGCTAAATGACTATTGCACTAATTAAGTGTTTTTAAATAATTCAAGATGGTTTGCTTAACCATGGGTTATTGAATATATCATCACTAATTAGGTTCACACAAAGTGAAACAGTTTATTCAACCTTGATACAACAGACCAAATTTGTGTCAGTTTAAGTAATGATATCATCAAAGGAATGAAGTTCATCTCTATGATGGTGTAACTTTCAGTTTAGCAGAGGAATATGAATAACAGACCTCTTTCTCCCAGATGGTCTGTTAAATTGGGGCAAGGCTGTTATGGAGTAGAGAAGCTACAAGGAAGAGAATATCATAATGACCACGGTTGCTTTATAGATTTGAAAAATGATTTGTGAAAACTACTTTGGCAATTTTTACTCTTAGTTTAGCAAAATTTATTTGAAATTACTTTTTAATAATCTGTATAATTGTGTATTTCAAGGAATATTAAAAAGATAACATTGCCAACTATTGGACGCCTCCGCCACTTCACCAATGAAACTCTACTTGATATCCTGTTTTACAATAGTCCCACTTACTGCCAAACGGTTGTGGATAAAGTAACAGTAGAGATAAACCATCTTTATGCACTGTTCATGAGCAGAAACCCTGATTTTAAAGGAGGAATCTCTGTTGCTGGTCACAGTTTAGGTAATGCAATGGCTTAATATGATGATTAGTTCAATATATCATTTTTATGGCATAATTCTTGAGAACTGTTGTCTAAATGGGGTTTTTAGTTCTTAAAGTTGTAGTTATATTTTTGTCCTAGAAACGTCTCTAGTATTCTGACATTGTGAATATCTCTCTATTTTGTTAGGCAAAGGGAAGGTTGGGAAGAGTACCTAAGATATCAGTGTGTAATTACTGTTTAAACCCAGACTGTTTAGATATCTCAAAATTCTATTTCTAACGATAGAGTTTGTATCTCCTAGGGTCCTTGGTTCTATTTGACATACTGTCCAATCAAAAGGATTGGACATCTGCAGTTAATTCTACTACTGTTGCTTCCAATGGTGCTGTGAAAGAAGTGACAGATGACCAGCAGGTATTTTTACTAAACAATCTTCCTTAATATTTGTGTGATTGGTAAAAAAAAAAAACTTCAAATGATCAATGCAGTATTCAGAACATTAGAAATATGTAGCCTAATCAAATTAAACAGCACTGCTATCATAATTCACTGAATGTCTTCTTCTAAGTGTCCATGGATATTTTTTTAACAAATAGGATCCTTTTCTATCATAAATGATCAGTTCATAAGGATGGTTACACTGCATTAATCAAAGAAAAATTTTTTCTATATGCCATCATATGCATATATGGTGTATGCTAAGTAACCAGGTTTCTAAAAGATACTCTGTCCGTATTTTTATTTAGAATCTTAGCTTTTATTGTTAAAAAAAGTTCCGTCATTAAGAGTATTGTCATTAGAGCCTATTGCAGAATATATATATTTTTCTGTATGATTTTTTTTGCTCCTTTAATGCCTTTGAGAGTTAACTCTAATTAGTACTTAATCCTGATGTTTTTTAGATCCAAACTAGATATTCTGCAATCTAGACTCGGCTTGTTTTTATGATGGTGGATTGAAGTGAGCACCAAACATACATACATTCACTCTATGAGATTTATTTTTGAGTTATCCACATTCCTTAGTGAAACTGATTTATTTTGACTTTTCTTTGGTTTTGAATGTTATAACCTAATGCAGATTTTTTTTTTCATTTCAAGGGGTCATTGAATTCTAATTCTGCTGGTGCTCTGCTTTCTCATTTAAATGATGAGCATGGGGATCATGATGATGAGGATGATATTCCAACCTTGCAAAGAACTTTGGAAATGCTTAGTTTGTCAGAATATATCAGTACTTTTGAAAAGGAGAAGATTGACATGGAATCTCTGGTATAGTAAAAATTGAAAAAGAACATGGCTTGTTTGAATTCAAAACAACATCACTGCCATTTTATGCACATCCTGAAGTATCTGTTGAGCCAGGAATCACTGTTATCTGGAGGAATTTATAAGCATACATTAATATATGGCAATATAATTTTAGTGAACATGAGGTCATCACCACCCCTCCCCACTTCCTCTTGATCAATCAATGCCTGAGATATTTACACCCTCTGAAATAATTTTAGAATAGCTGAAAAATGATAAATCCTTGAGAAGAATAAGTATTATTTCAGGGTTTGCACAGAAGTTGTGATAGGTTAATTAATGACAAATTTATATGTGCGCTTTTCAGTTCAATTGCTAGTTCTAGTGAATAAAAAAGACAAGAAACACTTGCACAAAATATAGAAGTGTACACATTTCTCAATGGGCATCACCACACTTCACAGTATGTGCTATTAACAGAAAGCAGCTGTATAATTTTTTAGTTTTATAATTTCATGTGTTTTGGGAGGGAGGAGGTTGGCTTCCTGTGAAAAAGGATTTCATATTGTTCTAAAATACAAATGAAAGCAGGATTCTCATACTTGGCATCTAGCCAACAGTACTTCATGAGAGCAGTCATATGGCATCATGTGTTGCCAAATGTCATTTTGCTATAGTTGGCATTGATGTTGACCTAGTCAAGGCCATAGCTCTTTGACTGAAGGACAAGCCAATGATTGAAGTTGAACTGATCCCAGCAGACTATATGTTTGAATTAGAAAACTTGGAGTACATTCTTTAGTGCATAAAGAAGTCATTGGTATGAGTATTGTTTATGTCAACAGAATCTGTAGCTTTTACTTTGGTGAGAGTTGAACAGGAAGTAGGAGAGGTCCTTTTAATATTCTCATTGAAATTTCATGATCAGTGGCCAGGGATTTGAGAAAGAGTTGAGTTGCAACCGGCATAAGATGTTTACTGGTATGTTAGGGGCCAGTATGCTGGCAAGTTGAAATTGAGAAATGAATTGCCAATTGTCATTGCCACTCGTTGAGTTAAATTATCCAAATTAAACTCTTGAGATTGGAAACAGCTTGTTTTAAATCATTAAGTTTTTCAAAATAGTAACTTGTTCCTTCAGAGTTGAGAAGATGTAGAAACATAAAAGCTTAATTTCTGGATATGAAACAAATTAAAAACTAAAATTGAAACACAAGATAACTGCTGTAGCTATATTGCTATCATAGCAGTGAGCTGAATGAGTACGATTTATTGGTCACGATAAACCTACTTTACTTAGGATTTCTCTGTGATGACATTTGGAGAATAATAGATACTCTAGGTTTATAGTATTGGTTTTTAACATGTATTTTGAGCTCTGGCTCCTACTGCTTTCAATCTACAAAACAAGGATAAATGTTCTTTTAATTGCACAGACTTGTTTATACTGCAGTATCAGACTTGCCTCCCAGGATTCATGGTAACTGTCAGCAACCCATATATGAATCCTTGACTAGCGACTACAATTGAGCCCAAAATTTCTGTTGTTAAATGTTAAATATTTGTTAAGTAAGTTTTGCCTCATTTTACAACATTTCTTGCCACAGTTGTTAAGTGAACCATTGCAGTTGTTAAGTTAGTAATATGGTTGTTAAGTGAATCTGGCTTTGCCATTGACTTTGTCAGATTTGTCAGAAGTTTGCAAAAGGTGATCATATGACCCCAGGCCACTGCAACCATCATAAGTACAAGTCAGTTGCCAAGTATCTGAATTTTGATCATGTGACCAAGGGGATGCTATAATAGTCATTGGTGTGAAAAACAGTCATAACTCACTTTTTTCAGTGCTGTTGTAACTTCAAATGGTGACTAAACAAACTGTTGTAAATCAAGGACTATCTATACTACTAAAATGTTTATACTAACCAGCTATAGGGAAATGTATTTGTATTAAAAGAAAAAAATACAAAATTTGATTTCCCTCATTTTATTTTGAAAGTTGTTGTGTACAGTTGATGACCTGAAAGAAATGAGAATACCTCTTGGGCCTCGGAAGAAGATAGCAAACTTTGTAAAAGACAAAGCAGCCAAACAGGTGGGAATCATAGTTTTGTTTTGGGAAGCAATCTCACTGAATCTATCTTTGTTTCTGCTTGAATATTAACATTTCATCACAGAAATAGAAAATAAGCAGGGTGATAACATATTTTACTGACCCTATATGTGGAAGAAACACCCTTTTGTCAAAGTATTATGAACAATATTTAACATTCAGCTCCTAGTACAATTTTTGTATTTGTAACCCTGAGAGCCAGTTTGGGGTAGCTGCAGGGGCTTAAAGCTTTAAAGGTAAAGAGAGAATGACAGTAGGAAAAAAAAGAGAGAAGCCTGCCATTTACCTTCATCTTTGTAATTGACTTATTTTTACTTTTGGATTATAAACAATCCATTGAGGCAAAGCAAAATGAGGCAAGGAGAGGTTCATTAGATCAACTGATAGAAAAAGGAATTAGCCAGAAATATTATAGAAAACGTTTGAATAAATGGGAAAAAATGAACATTCTGTGGGGCACCTTAGGAGAGAAATTAAGCAAATTAATGACAAAGTAGAAATTTTTGCAAGTAAAACAGAAATAATAAACAGATGAAAAAGAACTTAGACAATTTGGCTTTCCTGGAATTGAAAGAAAAATAAAAAAAGAATTCTACCTGATATTTTGAGCAGTTCCAGAGGATCCTGAAGAAAAGGTAGTTCAACTTCTAACAGTGGAATGGGATGAAGCTGACCTGGAGAAGAAAATGATCAATACACAATTTGCAAAACTAAAAAAATAAATCAAGGGGTCTTTCTTGTCAGAAAGAAAAAGAATTTCAAGTTTTGCAGCAGAATTTTACTATTAGACTGAAAATCAATAATGCAGATATGAACTCAATACAGAAAAGCAAAAGAATTCAGAAACGTTTAAAGGGAAATTAGAAGAAATGTAAATAGAAATGACAAAAGGCCTTTTGGACTCTAAACTTCCTGAATGTATTTGAGAATTGGGAAAAATAATTATCTAGATAATACTTGCTTGAAACTTGAATCATCAGCAGTCACTACCAGGAGAATGGCAGAGGTGGAGATATGATTTTTTATTAACAATCCAAGGATCTAGCAGCAGAGAATTTCACTAGCTAGTCTCAATGTCAAACCTTCTATCCAAGTGCAGATGTGGAGGTAGATAATTATTTCCAATGAAGAAGAAAGCATCTAAAGTGATTCTTATATGTTGTAGATCCAGGTGCTGGTATAGCTTAATTGGGCCAATGCTGTCCTCTTCCCAAAGGAGACATGTTTATTGTCATTGCTCTGCCATGCTCTGTATTCCTGGGCATCTAACCACAATCTGGAACCTCATTAAACGCACGGATAGCATGAGACTTGCTTCTCGCATTTGGCAATAAGTATTGCCAATACAATACAGACATTGCTGCTTTCACTAAAGTGGCCAGACCAAGAGAACAAAGAGGGTTTGACTGCCATAAATCTTATACTGGTGCCTTATTTGAAAGTAAAAAAAAAACTTGCTGGAATTCTTATGTTGTAACTTTCAAGTAAGCACTACTAATCAGTGTTTTGAGAGTCTTCAGACAGCACACAAGTTCTCTGAGAGTTTTGTCCTTTGGATTAGGTGTTTCCTGTCCAGTCTGCTAGGTCTAGGAGGAAATATTCTTGGACCTATCAAAAGATTATATGTGATTTAAAAAAAAATATACAGCAGGTTTCTGTTTACTCTGAATACGCGTTAGAATGTTCTTTCTATGCTAACATGAAGAATGTTAAGTTCCCATGTGATACGATGTCGATATTAAGATCCAATTTGTTGACTGGATTTAATTTGTTTTGTAATCTTAAAAGATTTGTCTGATAATTTTGTTTTTATTGTTTAGTTGAAGTGTGGTGTGTATATGTGTGTATATACAAATACAAATGCACATATTTATGCAATAGTAAACTCTTTCATTCTTCAGTTTTTAAAAATCTTGATTTCAATAGGAACAAAAGAAGGCATTGCTAGAGCAAAAGGCTGCAATGGAAGAACAAGTTGCTCAGACAGTTAAGTTTTCTTCGGCTACTGCATCTTCGGAACCTACCATTCCTCAGGAAGCATCCAAACGAACACGCCCATTTGGAGCATCCGTTTCATCTGCACACATAGACTATGAATTTTTTGAAATGGGAACAGGCCAGGTACGATATATGTATATATAACGTAAATGAATTCATTTTGTTTCCAACTGGTATAATTGTCTCCTTTTGGACCACAGTTTTTCCTGCATAGCCTATGCGGTTATAGATAAGGGATTGTGTATTAGAGGATAAAGTGAAACATAAAATATTCCTCAGAGGCTGGGGTACAGATGATATAATGTGCACATGCTTTGTTATGAACCTACTCACAGAGCATCAACTTCACATAAAACTGTTTCAACAAGAAGCATTTTGCATTTTGCTGTTTCCAAAATCAACTTTCTTATGTCCAGTCTGGTGATACATGTAAAAGGCTGAAAGTGAAGTGGCTGACATACAAACAGATTATTAATTTCTTTTCTTTTTTTAAAAAAAAATACTTTTTATCTTGCAGGTGTCTGTGGTATACAACACACTTGATTTTGAACCAGATATTTTCTTTGCTTTGGGTTCTCCAATTGGTGTATTCCTCACTGTTAGAGGAGTGGAAAAAATAGATGAGAGCTACAGGCTGCCAACCTGCAAGGGATTTTTTAACATATATCATCCGGTTAGTGAGAAGAACAGATTTTCAATTACATTTGATGAAAGTAATATTGTATCTTGCCTATTTATATTCTAAGTGTAACTTTTTGAAAAATAAGAAAATTAATTTGCATGGCATTAATTTCTGACATATTTTTATCATAGTTTATATTTTTAAAAGAAAATATGACACCAAAGATTGCATTGTTTATTTAGGGCTAGAGAGTACATTGAATATTTGAAATCCTGAGTTGTCAGGATTTTACACGGGTAGTCCTTGACTTATTTGTTTAATTACCATTCAAAGTTTCAGGCACTGAAAAAAAATGACTTATGATTGGTCCTTACAACCACAACCTTTATAGCATCCTCATAATCACTTGATTAAAAACTTGTCTGCTTGGGAAACTGATACGTATTTACAATGGTTGCAGTGTCCTAGGGTCGTGTGACTGCCATTTGTGACCTTCCCAGCCATTTGCTAGCAAGCATAAGTCAATGGGGGAAACCGAATGTACTTAATGGCCACCTGTTTCATTTAACAGCGGCACTGATGTGTTTAACAACCATTGCAAAAAAGATTGTAGAATTGGATGTGACTCACTTAACCACCTTGCTTAACAACAGAAAATAATATCCCAATTGTGGTCGTAAGTCGAGGACTACATGTATTTCTACACCGGATTATCTACATTTTGATTTATTAAGTATTTTGGGGCGAATAAGTTTCTGTTTGTGTTAGTTGGGGGGGGGGTGAAAAAAGCCATGGTGGCACAGTGGTTAGAATGCAGTAGTGCTATTACTATTAATATCTCAGAATATTTTGTAATTGTTCTCTGTTTGTTGCTAAGGAGGGGCTGCCTTCTCTTTTTCAAATGACCAAGATCTATTTATCTTCCTATTCTACTTTTCTGAAATTACAGATCAAAACTTTAGGTCTCTTGTAAGCATGAACAGAGGATTTACTTCTGTGTTCCATTTAACAATATACATATTATTAGGATTTACTGTCTTAATTATTATAGAGGCATTTCTTAAACACTGAAAAAAAGGTGTTGTACTCCATGTGGTATTCTATTTGTACACTGGAACCATTGTATGTGTGATTTCTTTGTAAACTGAGTGGGCTATTCTGTAGCATAATTGAGTACTGAATGTTTAAGACCTGATATTTTATTATTTGTTTATCAATATGCTAATTATACATGACCTCATGCATGATGATGTGTTTGCAAATAAATCAAATCTACAAATAAATAACATGTGAACAAATAGAAATAGAAAAGCTTTGTTAAGGATAATACTTTTTCATGTACTTTCTTTCCCAACTATGTATTCTATGTTGGACTGCTGGCTGCTTTTGGGAAACCAATCCAATCTTTTTGTGTGAAACTAGTTGTGCAGTTCTATAGGAAATGTATTTTATGTTTAGACTTCAAATTACTTATGTTGTGTTTTTTATTATTTAGCTTGATCCAGTAGCATACAGGCTAGAACCTATGATTATTTCTGATTTTGATGTGAAACCAGTCCTCATTCCACACCACAAAGGCAGGAAAAGACTCCATCTTGGTAAATAAAGTGTATTGAAATATTTTCTAATATCTGACTTGAACATAAAGCTAGTATGAATGTTATAAAGCACAAACAGAAGAAAGCAACAACATACCATATTCTGATTCAAAAATAAAAGCGCCTTCTTTCAAATCCAGTAAAACTTTCAGTATCAATTTTGCATGTTGCATGAGAAAAATATTTTATAAAGCTTTCCCTCCAAACTGCTGTTTTCTCCACATTGATAATTTTGGAATGACTAGTGGTAAGGAATACTACTATTTGTAAAAGTGTCTGCCATTTAGTCTGTATTTTTAATCTGACATCACAGTGTGTGAAGGAAGGAAATGGGTTGTTGAAGTAGAGAATGAACAAGAAAATAAATAGTGCAGAATTAAAGTAGTCATATAAACAGTTTATTGCAACCGTAGTAAAATACATATTTATGTATGCAGCATTAGTAGGTGCCTAAGCATAAAATGAAATAGGCAGAGCTGAAATACAGTGATGCTTTGTGAATCCTTTTGAATTTTCAATATTTTTGCATAAATATGACCTAAATTGTGATCTGCTCTCCATACAAGTGCTAAAACTAAAGACACCTAATTAAATAATGAATTAAAAAACTATAGTTTTTCATTAATTAAATAGGGAAAATGATCCATATCCACATATCACAGATTTTTAAGGACCATTTTAGGACATCTACAGCAGGGGTTCCCAACCTGTGGGCCACGGCCCACTACTGGTCCATAGCCTGCTGGCCAGTAGCTGGCCAGTGCACGCACATGTGTGCACAGTCCCCCGTTGTGCTAGTGGTTGTATGGGCACTAGCACCCTGTTTGCGCATTCGCGTGGGCGCTCGCAGCCCTGTTTGCATGGGTGCTAGCAGCCCCCTTTGCACATGTGCATGGGTGCTAGCGACCCTGTTTGCACATGTGCACGGGCATGAGTGCTGCTGTGAGTGCCGCACAGGAGCGTGCGGCTCCATTTTCACATGCCTCTGGGCCACCAACCTGGAAAGATTGGGAACCTCTGATCTACAGCACTCATCTGAAATTATTATAGAAATATTGTTTTTTACTCACAGTAAAATAACAGTGGTCATTACTCAAGGTTACAATTATATGTTTCGAATAGTGCAGCTATATGTAGTCCTTGGTTAATAATAATAATTGGATATAAAATTTTGGTTACTAAGTAAAAAGGTCGTAAAGCCCAGAGTCACTTTGTGTGAGATGGACAGCCACATAAATTTGATTAATAAATAAATATAGTGATTTTAAAGATTCAGAGTCCAATCTTTAATGAGCCTGCTTAGATTAATTAGGACTGTGCAGTACTTCAGATTCGGTCTTCATTTAATTTATTTTGCATATGAAGAATTCAAAGGACTCCACAAGTCTACTGTTAATATAAATGAGAAATGAAGCCAGTTGATTGATTCAGGAGGATCCTCTACCAGGTTAATAAATTTAAATATTTTTAAAACCGTCACAGTGAACCAAAAAAGCAGTTCAGTCTAAATACCGCTAACAATAAATGATTGTTTAAAGAATAGAACAGATTTTTTTTGTTGTTATTTAATTGAAGCTGTATTCTGTATTTATTTTTAGGTAACTATTTAACATTTGTATTTAACAAAGTGATTCCTTTTTAAACTTGCAGTGATTGGAACAAATTTATATATATATTTTTTCCATTTTTCTTTTTTATTAGAATTGAAAGATTCTCTCTCTCGAATGGGATCAGACTTGAAACAAGGCTTTCTCAGCTCTTTGAAAAGTGCTTGGCAAACCCTTAATGAATTTGCACGTGCCCATACCTCTTCTTCTCAACTCCAAGCAGAATTGGAGAAAGTGGCCCACCAGATTAAAGCAGAAGAGGAAAAAGACGAGGCAGAAGGTTACTTGATACAAGCATATGGTTTTCAGTAACTGTTCAAAGTGGTAAAATTGAAATGTATCTCTATCTCTTTGCTTGCAGGACTGAAGTCTAGAGTCTCGTGGTAGTAACTCACCTCTCATGCTCTGAAACTTGATAAAGCATTGTTAGTTTCTCGAATATGCAAACTTTCATTTTTATCCTGGAAGGGATAAAAGTTACAAGTAGTTCTCAACTTTACAACCATTTGTTTAATGACAGTTTAGGTTATGACGGCCGTGAAAAAAGTGACTTACGACCCAAGTTGTGACTGTCACAATATCTCTGAAAAGCACATGACTACAATTTTGGTGCTTGGCAAGTGGCTCACATTTATGACAGTTGCAGCATCTTGTATTCAGCGAACACAAACTGTGACCTTCCCAACCTGCTTCTGATAAACAATTGGGGGAGCCAGGTTTGCTTAATGATTGTGTGATTTATTTAACAATCACAGTAATTCACTTAATGACCACAGTAGAAAAGATTGTAAACCAAGTTCCAAATGTGGCTGTAAGTTGAGGACTACCTGATATTTCTAGTAGAAACCTTATGTTGCACATTGTATATGCCTTGGTTTAATTGAACACCATGACAAACAGGGCAAGTTCTCTAAATGAAAACATTGTAATTGCCTGAATGTAATCAAATATTGACTTTCTAGACAGAATAGGTTTGTCTGTTTTATTCTATCTGTGTTGAATTTCTTTTATTTAACTTTTCTTAAACGATAAAAACTAAAGCACTTCTATTGAAAAAAAGAATCTGAAGTTATTGTTGCAATGAAATATAATTTGGCATTATCTTTGAAGCGCTCATCTGTTTATCTGCCTTCTCATAACCTGCTGCTTGTTTTAAATTCCAGTGAATTTCAAGGTAAAATGAGTATTCCTGTTGCGTTATGGACTAACTAAAACATATTCAAAGCCTAAGTGGTTACCATGCAAATCCAGGAAAAACATAGCCTCTTTAAGAAACATCTAATTGAAAGCATCCTGGAACTGAAGCACACTTGGTCACTTTAGATCAATTATTACACATATCACTGGGTGCTGTTTAGGAAATCCTGCAATTTATGTTGAATGTAAATATGTGTGAAAGGATAGTTTGTTTTCTGAAAGTTTCTGAATATGCAATATAACGAAGTCCCTTGGATATTTGTTTTCTTCTTAGCATATATTCGCAGAAGTGTATATGTATCAGGAGAAAAATTGTAAATGTGTTATAAATAAGCCTAATAATGAAATATTGTAGTAAAGAAAGAGAGAATGGCAAAACTTGTATTGTATTTTTCATACTCATTTTTTTCCCCTGAAGCAGAAAAGATAGTGGAAAGTCCAGAACTTTCAAAGGATGAAGACTTGAGTATAAAAATTGGTTCGCTAAATGGAGGCCGTCGTATTGATTATGTTCTTCAAGAAAAACCTATAGAAAGTTTTAATGAGTATCTTTTTGCTCTACAGAGTCACTTGTGCTACTGGTAAGAATTAGTAAATTTACCATCACTAAATCCTGAGATTGTAAATAACATCATTTGTTTTTCTTACATGTCTTTTTTTTTTTTAAATTAGGGAGGCTTAGAATTTACACCCAGTTTGCCTGCTTATATTTTGCTTCAGAAATATTCCAGTTTCCTTTGCTTGGTCTATGCTGGAAGGCAGCTAGATACTATTTCCATAAGATGGCACTCTTGCATTAAAGAAAATTGTATTGATTAATAAGTTATACAATTGCTAGGCTGTTAACACAGGCTAAAGTCAAATACCTCACGAATTAATAAAATAAACCTTGAGGTAGTAGACAAACAATATTTTTTCTATTGATAAGAAATAGTTTCTCTCTCTCTCTGGAATCAAATTTTGTTTTTTGCTAAGAAGCTTGATATTAGGAACACAAGGATTTATTTACCATTGCTTTCAAATGCATTTTATTCATACATCATTTGTATGTCACATATAATATTATGGGTAACTCACAATTATAAAAAACAATAATAGGGAAAACACAACTCAGTAGTACTCTTTACCACTACATTTAATGCACCACATGCCTCTGTGAAAGAGTGCCATTTGAGCAATCTTCTAAATGTTACCATGATGGGGGGGGGGCTCTCCTGGTTTTGGGATTCAAGAGTTTCAGAGTATGGGGATTGCTACTAAGAAGGCTGTTCTGCTATGCTGCCATCCACTCTGTCTCTTACTTATAGCTTCCTCCAAGCTTAAGCATGTTAGGCAGGCAGATTCTACCTGAATATTAGATCCAAGACCTAGAAAGATAGAACATAAATTTTAATAATATAACAGCAATAACAATATGTCCCCAGTTTTATTAGCAGTGGATTCTTCCTTGTAATATTGCTCAAGACAGGATTAATACCCGTTAATTAGAATTACAGTCAAATTGAAGCTATAAATGTCACCTGATCAAAAATGTAAAATAAAGATGAATTTTATTAATAAAAGTTACAGAATACATCCAAGAAACAATTTTTTCCTGTTGTAGCAGAGCTTAGAAACTGCTAATGTGATGTTATTTAAAAGATGTTTAATTTGCTGAGGAATTTGAGCTGCCGGCAATAGAATACTCGTAGGCCAATTGGTTGAAAGGAGACATTATAAATGTAATCATGGTCAGTTCAGTGGAGATTAAAACAGAGCCTGAAATCAGAAGTTGTCTAAAGGAATAAAGAAAATGAGCAATGAAAAGAGATACAAGAATTGGAAGAAATATAGATGTAAATCATAGAGTAAATAAAAGGCAATTAATTATGTGTCGAGATGATTGAGATGCTGTGTTTTGCATGTTGGTGTTAAAAGCATAGCTGAAGGGTTAGATGACCTAAATAAACTATATGATATTGCCGAGAGACATGTGTTTGAGACATGTTGGAGAAATTCATTTGAAAAGCAATCAAAAGCACCAGGATAACATTTTTTCAATCAGCGACATTGCGTAGTTAGAAGTTTGCATAGAATAAGCTGGTTCAAATTAGGCAATTCGCTGAAAATTAGCATGTTTTTTTTTAATCTGCAGGGAATCAGAAGATACCTCTCTACTTCTTCTAAAAGAAATCTATAGAACTATGAATGTTTATCCTGAACAACCACAACATTGATATCAGAACACCTGTAATACAAAATGTGTAAGTAATACCTCACATAAATAGAACACAAATTATTCCATAAAAAGTTCAGACTCCCTGGTATGGAGGTGCTAGTATGCTTGAAATATATTTGTATCATTTTGTGTACAGGTAGTACTCAGGTCACAACCATTCCTTCAGCAACCATTCAAAGGGGTGATGACACTGAATATTTTATTTATTTATTTATTTATTTATGAGACTTATATACCGCTTTAAGTGCGAGCACTCTCTAAACGGTGTACACCAGTAAGCAATGTATATATATATTTACATTGCCCCCAACAATCTGGGTCCTCATTTTACCTACCCCGGAAGGATGGAAGGCTGAGTCAACCTTGAGCCAGTGAGATTTGAACCGCTGACCTGCTGAACACAGTCAGCTAAAGTGGCCTGCAGTACTGCACTCTAACTGCTGCGCCACCTCGGCTCTTTATATGATAAGGGGTTATCATGTTATGAAGACAACTGAAAATGCTGTGACTGCCATCTTGAAGCAGTGGGGTCATATGATGACCACATTGCTTAGCAACATAAGTTCTGATCTCAACTGCTGTTGTAATTCAAGGACTAGCTATGTGTTTCATTTTAAAACATTTGATTGTGAAGATTTGAATTATAGTAGTGGCCAAAATTGTGGAAACCTTTTGGAAAAAATGTACAGTAGAAATGCCACCTTTGGTTAAGTTTCCACCAATTTTTTTTTCTAATTTCTTTATAACTGTAGCCTTGTTCACTTAATAATACTATTTTACATTGCTTTGTGGGCAACCAGTCAACTCTTTGCACCATTACTTTAATTTTGTTATGTTTTACAAGCTCACTAAATGAAAGAACAGAAAAAACCCTAACCAACTTGGTAGCGATCACATAACACACTGACAAATATCTTCCTCTCAGCTTCAGTACATGACATCAATAACCGAATCCTACTGTGATCTGATTGTGTCATTGCCAAAACAACATGACACCTGATTGCCTCTCTAAACACTCATGCTCATTGGCTACAATCAGATGAAAGAAAGCTACCTGATATCAACCTAATCAAGTTGTGCTTCCTTTTTCTGGTTATTTGGCTATAACTTTTCATAGAAAACAGTACAGATAATTGAACAAACTTTGTTGTATTACATTCTTGATTAAATTATCTTTCCATTGATATATAATTTTATGGTACTACTAAAAAAAAAAGTGGTGTTATTAGCCATCAAACCTCAAAAATACACTTTTCCCAAAAGGTTTCCACAATTTTGGCCACTACTGTACGTTATGGTAATTTTTCTGACCTTAAATGTTAGAAAAACCCTATTTTTTAATTTTTTCCTTATCTCCTCCTTACCAGTTAATTTGATAAGCATGTTAATGTAAGTTTTTTTTTTTCATTTTCTTCAATTATGGCACAAAAAAGCAATATCAGCTAGCAGTCGGGCATAGTCCAAGTGGATTAGGATAGTTGATATAGCGTAAATGCCGGCGTATAAGCGACTTCTGTGAGCGCTGAAATCGGCGCCAAAGACGGGGGTCGTCTTATACGCCGAGTCGTCTTATACGCCGGAAATACTGGTAGTTTCCGGCGTATAAGACGACGTTCTAGGAATGCGGCCCGGCTATAAAGACGGGGGTCGTCTTATACGTCGGGTCGCCTTGTACGCCGGCATTTACGGTACTTGTCTTTTTGATACCATTGAAGTTGCAACTCTTATGCCTTCTTTTTTGAAGTTAGCTTCATTAAAGATATCTAACATCATGTTAAAATAATTTTTAGTACTAATGATGTAATCCCTCTTCTGCTTATAAAAATTATGTTATCAAATTTTGCATTTTTGAAATGTTTTTCAGCTTGATAGGCCCATGATTCTTATGAGGAAACTACCCAAATGAAACAATTCTGCTTATTAATATAAAATATATAACTTAAGCATATAATGGTTAGGTTAGTTTTATGTTCCTCATCTTTCAGCCGTTTGCAAACATCCTTCTGTTAGGAAATATAAGTACATGTTAGGAAAGAAATAATATTTTACTCTTTTTAAATAACTTTATATTCAGAAAATCAAAAGGGAAACAAATATGTAGCTATCTTTACAGGATCAAATTCTGAAACACTGATCTCTGTTTAATCTATTCAATGAATTGCCATTTTCAGCTGATCTACATTCAATTTTGATTAGAAAAATATGTATTGCAGAGTTTAGTTGAGGAATAAATGTGTTTTCTTTGGCTTAAGTCATTTTAACTTATATGAATAATTTGTTATATGCTTCTGAATTAGGTACCTCTGAGCATTTAACATATTTTGGGATCAATATACATGAAATATTTAACACTCTTAGCAATTTTTCTTATGCATACACAGACAACCTATTGCAATTAGAGTAAATAATACATAACAGTAGAAATTATTCTAATTACTCCCAGAGTTTAGTAAACAATTTATTCACATCATGCTGCTTCATGCTTTGCTTGTTGAGAGAAGCTTTGTTTAAAATATATAAATAAATGCTTCTAATCTTCAGCATTTATACAGATTGTAACTTAAATGTAAACTTCCCAAATGAGCCATCTGCAGAAATAACAATGGAGGAAAATCTCCTGCAGTTGCCACTTGAACCGTTGTCAAAAAAGTTTGTAGAAGCGCACTTGCCAAAATTTCTGTGATTTTATTGCATTGTTTCGACAATAAAGGTACACACTGTATGTTTATTATGCAGCAGCTTCTATCTGAAAAATAATATATATTAACTTCCCTTTCTAATATGGTACATTACTCTAGCACTACATCAGAATAGAATTTACACCTGGGGCTTGATGCAGTCTACCCGAATGACACAGTCTATGAACAATTCTTGAAGCTCTGTTTCCAAAGGCAGTTCAGTTGGCCATTAGAAAGATGGGGTTTGTGCACATTTTTAATTTCCCAATACAGTTTTCCTTCTTTGCCTCAATACATAGCATTTCTATCATTCAACTATCACATGTATTGCATCCACTAACATTTCTTTCAGGAGAAACATACCTACTTACTTATGCATGAAAAGTCCTATTTTTGAGACAAATATGCAGATTTCCTAGGAAATTTGTTTTGCAGTACGTAACTAACTAATATGCAACCCATGGGACTTTTCCCATGTAAGAAAATTGAAGTGCCAGAGGGAAAATTAAGTTGAAATGTTACTGGCTTCCATACCAAAACGGGAACAAGACTGTCATTACCTCCAGATATGTTTTATTACATTCTATAAATGACTTAATCCAACTTTAATTGTTTGATTTTAATACAAGCAAAAAGCAATAGGTCCTTTCTATGTACACCAAACTATACTACTGAATATTTGAATAAACTATTTCTGTGAAGTTAGGTGTAGAATTATGTCAGAAGAGCATTTTAGAATATATTGTTATTTTGGGGGTGAGCAGGAGGTGCTATTCTTTTGAGTTTGCTTTGTCATAATTAGACCATAATTAGGGGTAGAATTACTCTTTTTATGTTTTTAAATTTCTTTGCTGCCCACAGTGGATTGAAAACATGATTATTAAAAATAAATAATTTGCACAAATGGCCACTGTTCTATGTTTAGTTCAAATTTGCATTGAGTTGTAAACCTTTGTAGCATCTAAATCTGACAAAAAATATTTTTGTATGTGTCTATTGTGCAAATGAAAAAAAATGCTAAAAACAAGTTATTTGATGAGATGGCTTCAGATTATAAATCTTTTATAAAATCTTCTGGTAATAACATTAAAAACAATAAAAATAAGATTATGATAATTATTGCTAAAGAAATTGTAATTATGACAGGATTATATCTTACACAGATCTGTTTTTTTTTCTCACACTCTTTTTTTCCATTAGCACTGGTATGGGCAGAAAATGTCCTAGTAAAAATTAAATAGATAGAGACATTCCTGTGTATTTCTAATGATATTTTTTCATTTCTTGGCAAATGTGTTTGCAGTTAATAAATTTTTCCATAGCTTACCGTCTTATCTATTTCTCTTTTTTCAGCAATTTTCATCTTTGTTTTGGCTTGCTAATAGCCTTTGAAGAAAAAGACACCAATTCCCTATCCATAGATGACAGAAGTTATTTCAGTCTGCAACACACCGTTTCTAAGCCACTTTTTTGTGTCATTTAGAAAAAAAAACATTCTGTGTAGAATTTTTTTTTTTTAAAGAGTGTATATACTGTTTCCATAGCCTTGAATCACTTGTGGAATTTTTGCCAAATTTGAGTCATCTTTTTTAAAAAAGATGCACGCAAATTAATAATTTCTAATCTGTCTGGTTCTTAAGTTTATCAGGCCTATGTTTTTGATCAGGATTCTATTTTTTAAAATAATATCTTCATGGTAAATAGCAATAATACTTTTATTTAATAAATCCATCTGATTTCTTTAAAAATGTAAACTTAACATCAAATTTATTTAATATACTTTTACATCAGCCATTATATTTGCAAAATAAATAATTGGAATCAATTTCATACAACAGCAGACTTACTATTACATTTTTATAAAAAACTTCTGAGCCTCTGAAAGAGATGCGTTTTTATTTTCGTGACATGAACCTTTACTCTAAGTTATATAGAAAATTGTTGTAAACTCAACATTTATACTTCTTGTTTATTTATCTGCTTATTGAATAGAGAACATTGATACGAACATGCTAGGATACATGACTTTATATGTTATTTGAGGACTAGACATAGAAAAATATCTGCATTAATGGCCCTGGGAGCGGAGAGTGCTTTAATGATCAAATTTAGTTAGTCCTTTGACATTGCATAGTTTTCATAGCAAAATATCTGAGAGTTTCATAAATAGATTCAACACTGGATTTCTGAAGCTTATTTTCTTTTGTCACTTTTGATTCCCCCCCCCAAGCATGCTAAGTGATGTTTCATTAAAGTGATATTGTAATGATATTGCTATGGGTTAATTTAGATATTTTGTTTCCAAAAATATTATTTTGCTGGGTGCAAGGGGTGGTAATATTTATCCTGAAGCAAACATTATATTGGTTCCTGAAGGACCAATAGAGATGAGATTTGTAACTTCTGCCTGTTGTATGGTCTATGCAATTAAAAATGTATATTTTTAAATCAACAGAAGTAAATTCATTGCAGTATATTATCACATAGCTATTTTATCTTTAAGAACTGTGATATTAATGGCCTTTTGGGAAGGTTTTATGGTTCTTTTGGTGATTCTGATACTATTTTCCGAAAGCAAGATTTTTTTTCTTATTCTAAGCATTTGCTATGCTCTTTGTCATAATGAAATTTAACATGTTTTCTTGTTAAACCTGAGTAAATTCCAGCATAGAAATAGTGAATGAAGCAGCTTTCTTGTCATTGAATAACTGGAGAACTTCTTCAGTATTATCCAGATTAAACTTATCTCTGAACCAATGTTTCTCAACCTTAGCAGCTTTGAGGCGTGTGGATTTCATCTCCCAGCATGCTGGCTGGGGAATTCTGGGGATTGGAGTCCACTTAAATTGGTGAGGTTGAGAAACACGGCTCTAAACAGGTTTCAAAATTATAAATTTGGTATCCAGATTACATTCCCAGTCATTTGGTCACATATAAAGGAAAGAAAGACATGCAATGGTTTTCAAGAATCAGCAACAGTATTGTGTATATAGGATATGTTGAAGTGAAAATGTAAAGTGAGGAAAAATAAATGTAATGATTTCTACTATGAAAAATGCATAAGTATTTATTATCAAGTTTAATTTAAATAAGCTCATTTTGTTTTTGATTGAACATTGTTTATTGCCATGGAAATAAATAGTGCAAACCTGATAACCTGTTTTTGGATGTTTGCATAGACTAAAGAATTTAAGTTTGGTTTTGAATATTTTAAATTCATCAAAACATTTCAATTTCTGCAAGTATGCCATATGCCTTATTCATTTCAATATATGGATAAATAGTTTGTTACAGATTATACATTTAGTTTGGGGATGGAGATGGAGATATCTAAAGTATAAACTTAATATTGTTATACTTCACGTTAATTAACCTACTTGCAGTGCACATTATCTGTTACTGCTATCCTTGCTTATATATTTTATTTAATAATTGGGTTTTAATCTGTGGCAGAACTTTCAATAATTTATGAACAACAAGCATATAAAGTAAGACTACCGTTTTCAAAATTAGAAGCCAACGGTAAGTTTATAACTTACCACCAGCCAAACATCTCTGCTGCATTTCACCAATCAGAGAAAAATGTGGAAGTAACAGCTGTAAGCATTTTCTTTCCTCAGCTTGTTAAGATTGACATCAGTGCTGTGCCTATTGGTTTATACTGTTTTATATGTTTTCTTGCAGAAAAGAGGAATAGATACAGAAAAAAAAAATAGAATCAGGAATGGTCAAACCAGCATCAGCACTTAAGTGGTTGCCAGCCTGTTATTAGTACTGTAGCCATAGGCTATCAGCTGGGATCTTATTTGCTTGCAGTAGCAATGGATTCTTATTTTCCACAAATCCTTGTAGCACCTTTATACTTGGACCATTTTTGGAAATTACTATAGTTGCTGCTGTGGTTAGATAAGCCTGAAGCTAAATTATCCTCTGATTGGGCTCTCAGAGCTGGAAGCAGACCTGTCATTTTCTCAAATGTATCTGCAATGATGTTTTATTTTTGTTTTCTGTTGAACTATGTACAGCTTTACTTTTGTGGAGTTTGTTAACCATACTGTCAACAAACTTCAATCCTTCATATTCTGTTTTGTAATTATCTTTCTAGTTAATGTAAATAAAAGACATAATGAAACCATAAGTTCTTGAGGTTATGAAGAACCTGACTCACACTTTCATTCCCTCTTTAGGTATTTTAACTGAATTTTGCTTTCTCTGTCTATGCTATTTTTATGTGCTTTGTAAAACAGCCAGATGATTTACATTTTGGCAAGGGTTTTTATCACTATAGCAAATTAGTTCTTTAATGACTATATCAGTGGCTTATGATGAGTGTTTCTTGTTATTTTTTAAAATGTTGTTATTGAGATTAAAATTTCTGGTCTGTTCACTTAAGCCTTTTTTCTTCATCTTCTCCTTTCTGAAATTGGCACAGATTTGCAAGGGATCCTACATAACCGTTTTGTATAGTGAGTAGGGTGTGGTAATTGAGGACTTAGTGGTGCTGTCTTCTTCCCCTCCTTCTCTCCCCACATGTTATATAATATAAAGGGATAAACATATCTAATGTTCCTGTTTTCTACTTTCTCCACAACAACAACCTTGTGGGTTGGGCTTAGAGTTACTTAGTCAGCTTTCATGCCTAGCAACTTTCTTAAGTTCTTTTTAGGGTGATGTAAAATGTTTGACTCTGGATACGTGTATTTTTCTATGGTAGTGTAATCTGTGAAAATATTTGTTATTTTACCGAGGAAAGTAAATCTTTTATTGTTATAGTGCAGAGCATGCTACAACATCAATCTATTTCTAAAATTCTTGTTGTCATGATGTTTACCTGGGTAAAATGGTGCAATAGGAAAATAGTTTTTGAACCCAGATACCCCAGATGGGTTAACTTACAGAATATATCCAAAATCTGGGACCCATGATTCCCAAGGCAATGAAATTTGGGAAAGTTGTGGCTACTTTACTGCTACTGGCTGCTACTGCTGCAGTCATGTGATCAGTGACAATTGCCCAGCCAGTCTCACAATCCCTTGCTTTCCCTCCCACTCAGCAACAAGGAATTGGCTCATCATGTAGTTCTTAAGGAAGCAACAATTTTAAGGCGCATGAAGAAAGGCCTGGATATTTTTACTGCTTTATGCACCTCTTCTCTGATATATAGACGTGCACATGTATCTGTAGCCTATCTTTGGTCTGGAACTCAAACCATGTACACAGTGCTCCATCTTCCTACATTTCTTCACAATTTCAGCCCAACTATGTGATAGGTCGGGCTGAAAGTCACTAAGTGGACTGCTGTGACTACAGATGGAGTAGAAACTGAATCTCTCTGGTCTTGGTCAAATACATTAGCTACTATAATTTAGTCTTTGCCATCTTTTTCATTTTTCAACTGCTTCTCTGAAACTGAGTGTATAGTGGTATTTTTTTCAGCCCCCAGAGATCAGGAAGACTGGTCCTGAAGCTATTCATGTGATCCTATTTTTAAACTCTCTGACAGCTCCCTGCAATTCGATGGACAAGCCAACAGGGATTCTAAACTGTTCTGAAATAAGAATGGCAATGTACAGCATTGTGGTAAAAAATAATTAAAATATTGTCAACATTATTATGCCAGGTGGAAAGAGGGAGGGCACCTTGTGATTAACAGTTGACACCAAATATAGTTGGGATGCAGCAAGAAAATGAAATAGGATGAAAGGGCTGCATGCCTCTAGAACAGTGTTTCTCAACCTTGACAATTTTAAGGCATGTGGACTTCAACTCCCAGAATTCCATGGCCAGCATCGCTGGCTATGGAATTCTGGGAGTTGAAGTCCACATGCCTTAAAATTGTCAAGGTTGAGATCACAAGATACAGAATGAGAAAAGGAAAATATCAGAAAATATGTGGCAAACACTAATTGCTGTGAGAGTTCTCAGCCCAGCAATACCCACCTTTAACAATAACATTTCAACAGAGGATGAGGCAAAATGGGTGACTTGCATGATGTAATATTTCTGCTGATATTGGTTCCATGGACAGTCTGTCCTGATTGTCATGTTTTCCAAATCCTTGGAGAAACTCCAAATTCCAGCGGTAAGGAAAGATCAGGATAGGCAATTTGCTGTTCAAATGAACTCCTTTAATTTATGTAGCAATGATGAACTTATTGTGAATGAGTTCAGGAACAACATCAGACAATACAATTGCCTTATCCAAATGATACCCTTTGATTCCAAAGAAGTCCTTTCAATGAGGAATAGATGAAATCCTGTGATTATTCAAGAGCAAATCCATCATTACAACGGACATTTAATGCAGCCAGCAAGCCAAATACATTCAAATTTACTTCAGGGGTCCTCAAGACAGCATAAAATTGAGAATGAGTATACAATGATGAAATTCAATATGAGATAGTTGAATTATTGTAGAAACTATTACAATAACGAAACTTGTGCATTGCAGCCCTTCAATGTACAAAAGTACAAATTCATGGCATGTCAGAAACTTCCATAATCATTGATCTTGAGTGGACCAGCATTTCAACATGAAACAAGATTTAATGCACAAATTGTCAATAAAGTTGTCATTATACCAACACAGAAACTGAACCAACATCATAACACATTATATTGAAAGAACAAGAACATAGTTTGCAGGTTTCCTTTCAACCTGGTCAATTGGAAGAATCTGAGCTAGCATTTTTGAAGATTTAAAAATTGAAAAGGTTTTTTTTTAAATTATGTCTTGTTTTGCTTAATTATCAGCTTGGAGAAGAATTTGCTGAATTCATGTTTATTGCTTTAATATTTTAAATGTAGCATCTCTACTCTGCTTTTAGGATATTTTTGTAGTTTTTTGTAGCTATCTAGTTTTGATGCTTTTATTGGATTCTGAATATTTCCCAACCTGTGTTAATGTGTCTTTCAGATTTCTAGAAAAGTAAGTTCTTTAGAGTTTCTTTCTGGAGCCATCTTTCTGTCTGTTTCGCCTCTTCAATAAACTACAACCTTCTTTCTAAAAAAATAAATAAATATTTTAGAAATGCAGCAAAAATCTCTGCTGTGTGTTGAGGTTTTTACCATTTATTGACTAGTAATTTTTAAAAATTCCCTCAGCACAGTGTCAATTACCCTCTTCTATCCTCTGAAATAGGAATTATTTTTTCATTTTATTCTTTTAGCTTTATATGATAAAATTAAAATTGATCATGAAATTGCCAGTTTGATAAGGAACCTATGATACTTAGGGAAAACATTTCTTAAACTGTTCCAATTTATGTGATTTAGTACTGATATTGGAAAATATTCTGATAAGCAACCCTATGGTCTTATTGAAATTTGAGAATGTATTCTGTCTTCAAAAAATATTGTCAGCATCAAATGATAATGTTATATTGTATTACACAAGTACTTTTATCTTATGAAATATGTAGGGGAATTATAACAGGCATTTTTGGAGATTTATTGAAGTCAGAATTTTCAGAGCACTTTCACAAAATGATTACCATGGTAAATGAAGCCAACTTTTTTTTTTTTAAATCCAAATGGTAAACGTGATGAAAATTGAAAGAAATGGAATGTTCCTAAAAATACAAGTAATAGGGTTGCAGCCTTTTACAATAATACCCATTTAGCAGATGAGACATTGCTGAGACTTAAAATCAAATGTAACAAAAAAACTCAATATAAGGCAGAGGGGATATAAATGCTAAAATTTATACTTGATGCTATCAGGTACAAGAACAAATTGGAAGGTTAAAATAGCAGGAAAGAGTAAACATGTCATCTTGAGATTCAAATTGCTACAGAAAAAAATTGGGAGCTTCATCTTACATGGCTCTCAAAAGACCCAATTTCAAAGATCTTGGAAAAGAATTAGAAACTAATAGACTTAAATCTTCTGGTGAAAGTGAGCACAGGAGGGTTGAGAATCTCAAAAATAACAACAGTTATATACCATTTTGATGAGAAGAAAAAATGGCACTTAGGAAAACATTATGGATACATATGGAAATTTTGATTGAGCTAAGATTTAATAGTGATAGGCATAGGAAATGGAAAATGGGTGTAACCATGAAGTATAAGTTCTAGCAAGTATGTAATACTTGTAGAAAAAGAGTAGATAATACCTGCAGAAAGAAAGCAACACCCAAAATTGGGCAAAAGCTGAAATAGGAAAGGGTAAATAGTTTTGCTGAAATGGACAGAATTGAGGGCCGGGGCAGAGCAGAATGTGAATTTAACCGTTATAAGCTTGTTTCAATCATTCACATTTAAGTTTAACACACTTTATGTTTCAGATGATATACTTAAGGACAGTTAATTTAACATGGAAGAAGGAGCCTCTGATCCCATAGTCCTCTTAGGGAGCAGGAGAAACATAAGCTCAAGGCTTAACACAGACACAGTTCTATAAAATTAAATTGTGCTTTGGTATATTGCTGGTTGCTATTTCTGTTGTACTTCAGGGAATTTGTATAGGAAGGGAAGGGATTAAAATTTTGGTGCTTGTGGTTGCATGAAACGTACTGTATCCTTGCATGTATCTGAAAAATCACAAGTCTGAAAAATGAGATTGTAAAATTTAGTTAGGCAATTGAAGAGGCCTTACAATCAAAGGAGTCATTCAATACGAATTTTGATCATTATTTTGAGTTGAATGAAGTCTTCTCATCCAATTATTCACCAGTTGTTGAGCAGTTTACTCGATAGTATGGGATCAATAGGAAAGCTACCACATGGGCCAAATAAAACTTGCATTCCAGATGGCTGAAGTGAGAGAGCAATGCACATATAAATTTAATCTTGTGATCAAGTATTTATCAAGTATTATTCATTTACTTGCTTTTAATTGGGATATAGTTTAGGAACATTTAATAGTATCTATGCTTAGTTGTTTAGATTTTTTTTGTAAGTCATAATTAGATGATTCCTCTGAAGTTTTTTGAAAGATTTATTAAAAATAAATTTATTAAAAACCTCAGTTTTTTCAGTTTTTCAGTGTTAGTTTCTGAAAAGTTATACACATCCTTTTCACTCCAAAATAACAAAAATAAAACAGGATGTATTTTTAGCGCCATCCTCTCTGGGTGAACTGAGCAGTTAAAAAAAAACAAACCCATGTTTTTAAAACATCCAGGCTCTATAGCA